GCGGTTATCCACTACGCCACCGAGCTACTCCGCATGTGAGTCGTCCCAATGTAATAAGCCCACAGAAATTACTTTGTGGTAGGTGCAGGTGATTACCCCGTGTACAGATACAGGCCCTGTCGAGCCGTTAGATACCCTAGTTAATGATTTAGGTATTTCTATAAATATAAATAAATTCCAAAAGTATTTAATAAACTTTATTAGTAGTCCAAACAGTTAAAGAAAGGCCATCAAATCCAAATAAAGATTATTGATAATTTCAACTTACATTTTGCAGTGTTATCGATTTTTATTACTATTTAGATTTTTTGTCTCTTTAAAATCAATGACATATTTAATAAATAGCATTATTTTCACAACTTTTGTTTGTTTATATGATGGAAAATTACTTACTGCATTTCATTAAAATAATTAAGGTACGACATCAAACCTAGTTTACGAATAAAAAAACATTGAGAATCGGATTACAATTCACTGAGATGTTGAACACAGAATCTCCCCTTTTTTGGCTTTGAAGTGGGTCCAATATATCCCTTAAATATGAATGATGAATTTGAATTTGGAACACTACGCAACACAAAAGGCCGCTGCAATAGACGAAATAGATATGTTGAATTTGAATTTGGAACACTACAAAAAGGTCGCTGCAATAGATTTGAACGCGGATTTGGCTCTAACTTTTTAAATATAATTAAATTGGTGAAGTTTCACAGTTTGTCGGCTTCGTATAATCTGATGTGACCTGTCTGATTGGTGCGATTACTCTTTTAAAGCAAATCTATAAAAACCATGGTTTTTATAATAAAAAAAAAGTATCTATATTAATTATTTCTTTATGACTGATGTCTGTTGTTTGTCTTGCGTGGCACATAAGAATAAAAATAATGTACTGTGCTAATCTCTGTTATATGTCCATGATATGAAGATCTATAAGTAGGTTAAAAATTCGAGTGAAAAAAATAAAACGACTTTTGTGTTTACGAATTTAATTTCATATTTTTTTTAATTTTGATACTGTCATAAGATTTCGTAGTAACGGTTAGATAACGTTTTATCTTATAAAACTTCAACATATAAGTTTTGTAAATATGAAGTTGCAAATATTTTACAGAAAAATATAATTAATAAAGATTTCAAATAACATTTAATTTAAATTAATTAAACATATGTTATAATAAATTTATGAAATTTGTGCAATGAAATCTTATAGAATAATGATAAATACAAGCCCGTCAACAAAATAGACAGAAACAGGTGATATAAAAAATATTCGTTTTTAGAGACTTTATATAGTGATTGACTTTAAAAAACTTCCAGAACATTCGTTACAAAGCTTCTAGGTACTCCTAAGAGTAATGTCCACTTTGTCCATGATAAATTCTAGAAGGTTCTCCTTAGTGGAATCGTATATTTCTCAAACTGCCGAAGAAATTACTACTTTCAGTAGCCAGACCGCAGGATTGGTAGTGCAGTATAAATCTTGTAAGCGTGATGCAGACTGCAGAATACCATTTGAAATAAAGTCAGTAATGCTTTTAGTTTTGCTAAACTTGACTTTTTGGTATTAAGTTCATACAAACAAAACATTTATAGAAAATCAACCAGTGAATGAAAATTCGTTTAAAGTTACCTCTAGAATGTAAGTTTAATTATGTTTTTCACTCAATGCTGCAAATGTGTGATATGTGCTTACAATAATTGTCATGAAATGCCAGTAATTAATCCATACTAATATTTTAAAGAATGTAATCTTTGAAAATACTGATCCTTTTAGGGTAATCTTTGAAAATACTCATCCGTTTATGAATTTATTTTTAAAGACTGCATCGAGCTATTTTCTTATTATTATCTCTTATATTTTTTTTACACAGTCCATTTTTATTACCGAAACCAGAATTCAACATTTCCATTATTGAATGAATCCTATTTAAAAATTAGAAACTTCAATAGAATTCTCGACAGAATAAAAAAATTCACATTACATCATTGTTTTTTTTTTCGAAATTTCACATCAGCTTGTTTTAAAACATAAGTAACTAGTCTTAAGAGATGGGATAATAGTTAAAAAAGAAATGAAAAAAAAAACAGCCAGTGTTCAATACTTATTATTATTACTTTTTCGTGTCTATCAAAATACAAGAAACAAAATATTAATCATCGTCATTGTTGTAATTAATTACAATCGGAACACTTTGAGTCGCAAATAACTTAGTTAGGACCTAAGCAGGACGTACGATTTTGGACAAATATCATCCATATGATAGATAATAAATAATAGCTGCTACATGAGAACAGCATCCCACTGTACGTTTGGCATTGGGGCAATCACAGCAATAACGAAGAATACTATTGTAGTCATTACCTTCGGAAATATAGTGAATGTAAATTCGATAGACTTTTATATTTATATGTCTTGATTTTACTTCTGCTTTGATGATATTAGGTGCTGATTTCACATATTGTACTGAGAGATTATTTTGATCGTCCATTATTTCGGCCAAGTTAAATGCTGCACATTTAGAAGTAGAAGCTTTTTTGTTAATATATGGGATAAGTCGACACTTCTTACAAAAGATATCATTAACTATTACGATTTTATTCAAACAGTCACTAAACACTTTAGCTTCTTCTTCATTCTTTATAATTTTTTTTATAACCAGGAATCTTACACAGGTACTTGTTACAATTTTTACACTTTCTCGACATTATTACTTAATAATGATTTGGTTCGATAGTTAATAATTTCAAAATGCTGATACAAAATACCTATGACAGAATTTGAGTCCCAAACTGCCTTCTTGTGTAATACAAATGACTGCTACTTTAGCTAAACAAACGATGCAGTAAACAGCTCGATAACAAGTTCGAACTTGTTTGTTTACACACTCACACTACAAGGCGCGAATCACATATAATTTTTTTTCGTTGTGTTGCACCAACTTTTTTTTCACGCAATTTTTATGGGTGATAGAGCACTTTGACGAGATTGCCAATGGCTGCCTTAAGCTCAAGGTTTCATAACATACTTTATTATTCAGAACAGTGAGAGCAAAGGTCAATTCACGGAGATTGGAATTAATGTTATAAGTTTCAACATTTTTTTCTGTATATTTTAAAGAAATGTTACTAAGATTTGCGTATCCATTTGTTACTATATTTAAAGTGGGTAGTGTATGTATATATGAAAGTATTGACTTAATTAAAAAGTGATATTGATTGTGTTTTATGAATGAATGTTTAAATGGGAGAGTAACCAAATGGAATGTATGGAGTGTACCTAAAATCTAATACAGAAATTACTAAATTATGTTTCGTAGAAATTTTACACACTTTGAAATAAGCTTAACGAATTTGTTAAATAGAACGCAAATTTACTGGACTTATTGACTATTTACATTTTTAAAATATCAGGAATTTTAAAATTTCATTTTAAGGATTAAGTTACTTTCCTCTACCTTTTCAACATATTTTAATATTATGAAAGTCGGTACTTTTTGTCTATCGTAAATGTGTACTTTGATTAGTTTACATTAATTTTATCATATTTTGGTTTAACAAAACAAATTGCAAATGTATTATTGTGAAAATCGTAATTTTATTTAGTAAATTATTGTATGAATTAATGAAATATTTTTTATTGTACATACACCAAACAGTTAAAAAAATTACAGATTATAATCTAACAATCAGTACAATCGGCGGACTTATCGCTTAGACGCGATCTCTTCCAGGCAACCGTTACAGACAGGACAAAATAAACTATAATTGGGTAGGTTATGGCGTCTAAAAGAATCTTCATTACTTATAATATGATACTTACAAATAAATACTTAAATAAAAATACGTATAATGGATTAAATAAACACATTATTATAATCATGATAACAAAATTAAATATATTATATATAATATTATAAATATATACATATTGTATGTACAATATTAAATAAAAATTGAACCTAATGATATTCCCAGCGGCGTAACTAAAGATGTAATTTAAAAAAGCAAAGGCGAAATCGCTGGTAGGTTACATTTTCTTCGACGATCTCATTCAAAGATTTCATTGCACAACTAACAGGATCCAAAGCATCGTGTGATACAGACGAGATATTATCGGTTGATTGGATAGAACGATTCCCTGATTGAGCGTTTTAGTTGAGTCGATCTAACTAAACATTTGGTCGGACTGGAGCTATTTGGGTCAACCCATTAGGAATGATATCACGCGCCATCACGTTGTAACGCGGTTAGCTTTGTTTTAGTTGTTAATAATAAAAGGCTCTACGTGAACGCTATATGTTTCAACGTTTCAGTTGGTAATGAAAAGCTTTGTTTAGTTAATGGAAAGTAAAGCTTACCTAAACTATTTCTTGTCGTAGATATTACGTACGTTTCATGTCATATTAAATTTCTGCCTTATCATGAGTAATGAAAAGAGGTCTTCGTATTGAGTAAAGATAATTATCTCGTTTGTAGCACACGACTTCGTAAATTATTAAAAATCTTCCATTACATAGTATACAGTCTTTATGATTCTAATATGTACATTAATTAAGTCATTAAATGACTAGACTATAATGAAACAACAGGAATTCGTTCATTTGTTCACCATCAAGTTTAGGACGTCTTATGGACAAATTAAATATTTAACACAAATAACAAGATGAAATTATGAATTTCTCTTTATTCAAACAGAACTAAGTGGTGTCCATTCCAAATGGTAAGTTTAATATGTTTATTTACAAGTTTAACGTAAAATTTACATATCAGAGAATGGCTTTATGAATAACTTTACGCTATTATGTATCTATAAACCTTATAATGTTACCTGTAATTGTATATATTACACAGAGAGAATATTTTATTAAATTTACAATAGTTATTTTTCCTTCTTTTACGATATTTACAACCATGCTTTGTCCAGTAGTTACACTTTTTAGCGTCACTTCACTCATTTATAATGTAACACTTTACACATAATTGTAAATATCCTCCATTTCTCATACATTCATTTCTGACATAGCCGCTTGGGGCACTCTAGACTTTTGGAAATGCTGCGAGGGGGGCGAAGAGGGGGGTGGAAGCACTGAACCATTTCCAGGACCTTGAGACTGCCCAGTTTGAGCTTGGACGTCGGGCAAATTACTCGCGCTACTCATAAATGTTGCATTCTTCGGTAAGGTCATGCAATTGGAGGCGTTGCATATTTGATTCTGCTGTTGGTAACTGAACCCCACCTTTCTCGGTAAAGTTGTACATTGCCCTCTATTCGTAGGTGGACTAGTTTTCTGCGACAAATTCGACATCTGAATTCCCGTGTGGCAAACATTGGGACAGTTCGAACTAGTAAAGTGGGGTACTCTGTTTGTCATTGCTATAATAGCGTTCTTATCTTGGTGATCGATATCTACTATGGTGCTGGAACTTTGTGAATGCCCGACGAAGTAATGGGGATGTTTAGAGGAGACGCTGTCGAACGTCGAATTATGATTCCTCTTCTGTTGTTGCTGCAATGCTTTCACTTGCAACCGGGTTTTATCTCGCTGATAGTATACGCCGGCAAATATTAATACGTTCAGTATTAGCAGTGAACATCCTATAGCGATAGTAACACTTAAAGCGGTGGAATAAGCCGTGTATCCTGCAACTTCTAAATTAGACACGTCTTGGGCACTCGTATTGTTTGCTGCGTGACTTTGAGTGACAGCGGACCCTGGCCTCGCTGACATGACACTAATACAGGTAGTCACGTACGTGTCCATTGTAGTGGACGGTATGTCTAATGTAACATTGTAGATAGGTCGCCGATATAGCTCAAGGGTCGGGTCAAAATAGTTCGCTCGGGTGAGCGGATCGGGTCGCACCAGCCCGTCGTATAGTTCCGGATCGTTGTGGTTTCTAAAAAGGTTGTGTTTCGCGACCACGTCCTTCATCCCGGCCCTGTGGATCTCTGGGATCAGCCGTAGCCACACGGACAGCTGGTGGGCACGATAATGGTTTTTCATACGCGGTTTCATGCCTGCAATAGAATTTGCGAATGTAAAAGGGTCAAGGAATTTTGCGGGCACCAAATTGCTCTGGAAGGGTAAGGTCGAGTAATTAACTTTGAAGTTGATATTGTGCGAGCGTGACCGAACTTTCAGTAGCAATTTTGATATATTTTTTTAATTAACCTTTGAAAATCCTACTATTCAAGTTGTAATAAAAGATACCTAATATTACATAGTTCATTGTACTTTTTTGAAGTAATATAAATTGGTATTTTAGTTATGTAAAAATCGATGTAGAGTATCCTTGTTTCATAAAGACATAATTGTTTGCTCTACACAAAAATAGAACAGCCGGAATTCGTTACATTAATATGAACAACATCCAATTTGTGTAAAGATACGACGAAAACAAATGTATTTTCGCTTACCAATTTCCAAATATTTCTGGTGAAGTGTATCATATTCGTCCCATACGATGCTTTTATATCGGTTCCTCTCTCTTGATATTGGGAGGACACCCTCTTGACGTTGAGCTTCATTTGGATTGCTAGTAAATATAAGTAAATCAATATCAGCCAAGCTCAATGATATTTTTGTTACGTGATATTTATTTTAGTCTAACGTTGTAATATTTTATTCTTTTGTATATAAATAGTTTACATTGATTCAATTTTGACATGATTTATATATTGATATGAAATAGTGAGTATTAAGTGAGCTAAACAACTTTTCTTTATTTTCTGAACTATTCAAATACTATATCATTCTTCCATGAATCAAAAGTAACCATTATAATAAACGATAAAAAAATTACAATATGAAGTTCTGTTAAAGTATTTTAGAGTTAAAATTCAAACATAAAGAACTCCACCCAAAATCATAACTTCGACCCTACCTTAAATCTCGCACTCCCCAAACTCATTAAGTCTAAAACAGATTCTTTTAACCGAAGAACAGTAACAAATGAAACGGCTGGCCCCCCAACAATTTTCCATCCCCAAACAAGGCGAAACAGGAAACCGGCCGTTAGCGGCCTGTAACTGTTATTTTCGTATTCACCGAATCGCGAAAATAATGATACTCTATTATTTTGTGTTATTCACTGCAAAGGTTAAAATGCGAGGCAAATTTTATGCAGCAAACATTATAAACTTATTCCTAAACATTAGCTGCAAAGGGCTGATACAAAAATATTCCACTTTTAAATTCTAATTTAATCTGTTTGTCAATACCATAGATAATATATTTAATTTCATCGACATTTAATTTTATCTAATCTATGGTTTGGTTTCAATTTCGAAAGAGCTACTGACTGAATCAATTTGTTGAGTCAGTAGCTCTTTGGAAATTTCATTGGTAATAAAGAAAAATATTTATTTCTCTAATGAGATGTTAAAAGAATATCAACAAGGTTAATAAGAAACGATTTCCTTCTATGTTTTCATAAAATTATAACCCAAAATTCTATTACGGAAATTAAGTATTTCCGTATTCCCTTCCGACCGCCCACAGCCATCTTCAAAGGGATCTCCAGAAATCAAAGAAAGCATTATCACATTAAACGTCCCCCGCATCAACATCACAGAGCTCATAAGTCGAGGTGATAAATGTCATATTACCTTGTTAGGGAATTCACAAAGGTAGTTTTAGTTGACTTTGATATTCTCTCTGGACACTAACCGGGAGGCCATTACGTGTAACCATCGTTTAATTAACTAACGGTTAATTTTGTTTGACTTTCCACTAGAGTACTGCCGTTTGATGAGAACATAAGCGTTTGATTACCATTTTGAGTGCTTGTTTTAAGGACTGCTTTCATTGCTCCAGTAAGTTTAATTGTAGCAGCTCGCTTTAATGTTGCTCCATCATGTATACTTAGAGCTATCTACTGTTGGTAATTAAATCCATAGGATTTATACATCACAAATGTATTGCTTAAATACAATAGAGGAATAATTCAGAATGTGGACATGAATATAGACACAAAGCTGACAAACCTATTTTATTATGCGATTAAGCCGATTCGATACAATTGATTCCTTGACGAGATAAAGCAATCGACTGTTTCATTTTCCGATATGCCATCGTAGTGTAAGTTTCGATATCGAAATTTCTGTATTTACAACCTTATCGCTATGGCATAAAGTCCTTTTTATATAATGGTGTGACTTATAGGTTTAATTATACTTACCCTGTTCTAATGAAATTTGCCATATACAGAATGAAAGCTTCAGATAGGGCTACTTCAGACTTCGTATAGTTCTTTGGAAAGTGACCTAGTCCATCAACCAGTGGTGCTCCAAATAGATACGGAAGTTCTTCGCCATGTACTGATCCCATTCTCTGAAATATATCATCATTTTAACTTGATCCACTCTTCATCGGCCCTTTTACGTCCCTACTGCAGAGGCTCAGGCCTTTCTTATGGATGGTTAAGGAGGATGAACCATAATCTTAAATGCTGGCCCACTGCGTATTCGAGGATATTAACGACTACAAACACAGCCGCAACCAATGGCTCAACGTGTCTTCCAAAGCACGGAGTAGCTCGAGCTCGAATAGTTTTTGGTTACCCATCCCGTGATCGACCCTTTCGGAAGTTGCTTAACCATAACCACAGTCGCGGGCCGAGCCGCTTATCCACAACACCACTGAACCACTTGACCCATTCGGTCAACATATTTTATATCAAATATTCATCATTGTACATCCCAATGAAATAACATACACACATCAATATTCTAGCATAAGTACGTTCTGAGTACCATATATAATTAATCGTTTGCCCAAGACATTCTTAGAGGAATTCGATTACAGAAAATATAGAAATTACTGCTCGGATGGAGTAAGTAAATGGAATAAGAAAATTAATGATAAATTTCGCAGTAAACACCAGGAAACGATTGTTCTCACGACACAGTTTCCGATAGAGCACGGTTGTAATTAATGGTACAACATTGTACTCTAAATAAATCATTCAATAGAAAATGGAACTGCTTAATTTACTCAAACTTTATTGAATGCGTTTCCGTTAAATAAGAGAAAGTAGTTTTCTATGAATGCTAATCATCTTTAGAAATTCAATGAATCTTTATTTGTGTTGTAATAGCTAGAATGTCATTGATAACTTCTTAGATAGATATTGTTAGGTTAAACAGTAGTCTCTTTAAATTAATAAGTTTATTTAGAATTTTCTTAAATATTTCGTCAATTATAAGTATTCGTATAATAAATTTAATAAAGATAATTTTAGTTTTTAAATATATTATTCTAACATTTCTCTGTATGTTTGTGTCTATCAAGAAACATCACGCTTCATTAATCTGTATTATCGTACTCAGTCTTTATTGTATCTACTAATAAAAAAATCATGGTAAAGTCTTCAAAAACCTATATACTCGTAATAAAGAATATAAGCGGCGTTGAGTACCTGAGGGTAGTCGCCATCTTTGGTCTGGTAATCAAACACGTAGAAGAAAGTATTCGGTCCGGAGTCTGGTGAGCTCTTGGCTACACTGAGGAAGTCCCCAGTCTGGACCAGTGGGGCTACGTACTGGGCGTCTGATATCGCCAACACGGCTGCGTCTCTTGTATTTATTGGATGCTACAAAAGTAGAACATTTTCATATAAAACCAATTCCATCAAACAAAAGAAGTTAGTTTTAGACTATAGTAATTTACAATTGCGTGCTCTTAGAAGATGTCAAAAGCCATAAAAACAGCGAGTATGTACGAAAAGAGTAATGAATGTGTATGAGGCCAAAGATGTATTTAAGGGCCGTATATTGTGACGTACGGAATGGGGCGTGAAGATATAAATATATAGATAGTTTACAAATTTTACATATTGAGCATATATGAAGCTGTAATCTGTACAACTCCAAAAATCTATTGCGACTCGTCATTACAATTAATATATCTTTTTTAGCATTTTCTTCTTCAGAATGAGAGTCTTCACAAGAAAGTCTAGGATATTCTTATCTTCCAGAGATTAACGATAGGTTACTTATTGCGATACAAACATCTTTGTTATATGTGAACCCAATTTCATCCCTGTGTATGGTCATTTTAAAAATGCCGTATGTCTAAAGTTTAAATGATAAAATTAACAGAACATGTTGTACATTTATTGGTGGTGGATCTTCCATTTTTATTCTACTTTCATCATCAGCCCTTTCTCCCCACGGCAGGACCCGGGCCGTCGTAAATGGTTAATTAATAAGGATGGCTCTCCAGCTTGGCCCAATACGGATTGGAGGGTGTTGAGAGCTGCATATGCATCCAGGGCCAACGTTATGAAAATAACTTTTTGGTCACTCATTCTGTGACCGACCTTTGCGAAAGTTGCTTAGCAACAAAGGTCGCGGATCCCGGCGCGTATCCACTATGCCACCGAGCTACTTTCAACTTTTTCGTTTGAAAATTTTAATAAGAAAGAATTTTCAATCTTTCCGAAGAATACGAACTCTTTTTATCTCTCTAGAATTATTAAAAAAGGCAGACAAGTGTTTATGTGATAAATCTGACTTTACATATTTTATTCACGTAAAGTATGTTGAGTAAATTATACGTATAAAAAACTATACACTGCACCCCTCACCCCTCCGAATCGGAATTATGTGGTTATTTCTTGTAGTTTAACGACTTTATTAAAACCTATTTTTTAATATGGCTTTCATTTAACAAAAGTGTTCCTTCTTTAAAAAGGACAAAATGTGCTAACAGTTCATATAGTCGAAAAATTTTCGTCGTTTATTTAGTTACCGTATAGTCTTTTTTAACTTGTTCCCCAGTTAGTAACAGGTAATTTTTTTACTGTTATTATTGTTTGATAATATTCTTCACGCCTTTCTTTTTGCTTTCATCGGTGCCATTTTTTTCAACTTGTCTATTTTCTCTTTTCTTTTTATACATTTAAGGCGTTTATATTATTCTTTGTCTATCTATTTAGTTTTCTTTTTTCTATATTTATTATTTTCCATTGTAGTCTATTTAGAAATTGGGAACATTAACTTATCGTTTTTGTTTTCTTCTCGTTTGCTTACAATACGTATGACGTTGGCGTAGCCCGGGCAACGACACCATCATGGATAGCTGTTAGATACGCGTTCTCGCATACGAGCTGGCAATCAATATAATCCGGATTAGTTTAGTGTGTGGTTTACCCCCAATCTTGCTGATGGACATATAATCTAACACAGGATAGATTTACTATCGATATAGGAAGTTGAAACGTTTTAGGACGTATCAAGTTAATTTTTATTTCTTATATTTGATCAATTTTGCATTCAGAATGCTATACTGGAAAATATTATTAATGAAAATTTTTCTTAATACGGTTTCGATTTCTGTCTGAGAGTACCTGGGGCTTTTTATTTCATTTTGACAAAAGTTATGCCATGATGCTGCCTGTAGACTTTGCCCACCCAATAAAATACGATTCTTTATATGGAGGTAAATCATTATTTGATACTTATTTACTTTGTTTAATTGTACACGTTATTTAAGACAGATAAGACAGGTGTCAACTATTTAAAATAAATTATCAAGCTTAAACTTAGTGATCTCATATAAGGTTTTGAATATTTAAAATTATTTTGTTAATTTTCACAATGCTATACTTAAAAATATTCTTAATGAAAAATACTAAAAAAAATCCACTTGGTCCCCGGCTTTCGATTCGTCAGTCCTGTAAGGTTCTGGGTAACTCAGTGGTTAGAGCAGTCGCCCGGATTGCGAAAGGTAAGATTGCATTGATTTCTTTTTATTTTCAAAATAGTGACTTGTCTATCACAAGTCACTATAGTCAGTAGTTGATTGATAATATTTTTTTTCCTATTTTTAAATATTATGTACGTGATGTGTGTTGTCAAAATAAATGTATTCTATTCTATAATCGCATCTCGATAAAATCTCAATTACTTACATATTGCCATTGAATTATCTATCTGAAGTCCAATATTATAATTGCTATGTCTTCCTCACGAGTCAATGGTGATAGATATACAATAATATTGGAGTTTATTTAGATAGTAGTCGAATAGTAGTCTTTGAGATTCTATTAATATTTGATTATTACGAAAACATTAATGGAATTGGTCTGGTGATTGTTTGACCTGCATCTTTAAAAATCATTGTTACAATAGGGATGGCGACTAATATTTGTTTGTTTGTATGTCAGGTTTTTTTTTTAATTTTATTATAAATAATATTTCATAATTTATAAAATACATTTCCAAGCACATTATAAACCATTAAGATTTTAATAAATGTGCCATAGTTCGCCATATATATACACATATAAGGTTTTACAATATTATTTGGTCGTTGCGATCCAGCATACACAGAAGTAGCGTTCTAATGTTTTTTTTTTTTTTTTAATTTATTGATCAGTAAAATTTACAAAAAATATAACAAACATTAATTTGCCAAACTGCGTAACAGTTTATCGGCGATAAATCCTATACTCTTTACAATTTTTTCTTATTATGAGGTAATATAAGCATAAAATATATATCACTTCACTATTAGACGCAATCATACTAATATGTTTTTCTTTTAAAGTTCTTAATTAATTTGTGCACTTTTCCGAAATTTATACCCAAAATCATTCAATAACTCCATTTCATGAAATCAGTTACATCATATTCAGGAAGGTTTTTTTTAAATATGTTTTAATAGATTGCTTCGACTTAGGCACTTCTGCAGGTAAATTAATTTTATTAAATATTCTAGGTGTTACGTAAGACCTTGTTCTTTGTAAATAATAGTTTCCTGTACTTGGCTCTTTATACATTTTTTTCTTTGACTGTCTTGTATTATAACTATATGTTCTTAATGTTTTATACATATCAATTTCAAACTGCTCTATTGCTAACATGTAATTAACTTTCAAATCAATTGGTATTATTTTACATATTATGAATAGGTCGTTGCTATTGCCGTGTTCTTTCTTTCTCTTTTTTCTATTGATAAGATGTTTCAGAAACTGTAGTTGGAGTTTTTTTATTTTTTCGAGGTAAGTTTTAAATGTGAGACCGTATGATGTAAGTCCATAGCTTATTATCGAATCTGCAAGTGCGTAATAAATAACATATAACATTTTTTTACCCAGTATCCGTCTAAGATGGTGAAATTTACCTAACACTTGCTCCAGTCGTGAGCAAACAGTTTCTACGTGTTTTTTCCAGTTCATATGCTGATCTATATAGAGTCCTAAGTATTTGTAATTTTTGACATATTCTATAATAGGACAGGAGCAACCTATCTTATTTTTATGTAAACATGAATAAGAGTGACCCATTACACCAAGGGATTTTAAGTTTGTATTTTTTGCTTTTTTATTATATGGTGAATATATATGTAAACATTTAGTTTTATCCATGTTAAGTAAAATGCCGTTGTCGTGTGCCCATTTAATAACATTTTCAAAATCTCTTTGAATATGGTCATGTATTATTTTTTATATCTCTTGATGAATACAATAAGCACATGTCATCTGCATACATATATAATTGACTATGTTCGAGAACGTTGGGTACACTGTTTACATGCATTATATACCCGATCGGGCCATACACGGAACCAGTTGGAACTCCTAAAGTTACTTCGGCTGCATCTCCTTCTACTCCCGCAACTCGCGTCAGTATCCGACGATGCGTCAGATACTGACGGAACCACTCACTCACCGGGCCTCTGATACCGCACTCATTCATGGCCTGAATTAGTAAATCGTGCTCCAACGTGTCGAACGCCTTTTTAAAATCTATAAATAAGGCTAAAACTTGATTACCTTTCCCTAAATTATCATTAACATAGTCGGTAAAACCCTGTAATGCAGTGGCCGTACTTCGCCCTTTCCTGAAACCATACTGCGCCTCAGATATTATATTATTACTTTCTAAAAAATAGGTAATTTGTCCTACTACGGCCTTTTCCATTATTTTATTGATGACAGGTAAGATAGCAATTGGTCTATAATTTGTGAATTCATAGTGACTACCTTGTTTATATATCGGTCTTATGATGGCTTTTTTTAGTTCATCAGGATACACACTTTGCATGATACACATATTAATGAAATTTGTTATAATTTGACTCACGCAATTTTTTACATACTTAATGTCTGAAACCCTTATTTGATCTATTCCAGGAGATTTTTCATTTGACAAAGAGTCAATAATTTTTTTTACGTCATTTGAGGTCACCTTTCTATACCTAAATGAAACATTTGCATCTTTTACATATTCATACCTCATCAAGAATTTTCTGTTACAATTATGTTTAATGTTTGCAACATCTTGCGTAAATGCTTTTGAAAAACATGTACTTACACTATAAAGCGTTCTAGTTTTACCTAAATACCTGATTATGACATCGTCTAAATTATTTTTCGTTTTTCCTATCCACGTATTTAACAACATCCAAATTTTACGAAAATCACCATTACATTTCAAAATCTCATTTTGCCTATAGTTATTTTTTGCAGTGTTCACTAATTTATTTACTTTATTTCGATATCGCGTATAATTAAGTCTTTTACACATACATTTTGGATTCACTTTCCATTCCCTAAACAGTTCATCCTTTCGATCCAATTTTAAACATAATTCCTGTGTTACCCATGGCTGTCTATATCTACTTACATATGTTTTCCTTTCCACTTTACACTGACTATACACATTTTTAAAAACATTAAACAATTCAGAATACAGTCTTAAAGGGCAACTAATTTCTACCAAAGCCTCCCATTTAATTAACTCGAGCTACTTCACAGCAAGCTTATCATTTAACACAGTACGAGATTGTTGTACGTTTTTATTATCCTTATTTGTATGTCTAAGAGATATGCTAATACCAACTTCGTAGTGATCGGAGATTGTACAAGTAAACAGATGCGCGCTTGCACTATGTGATCGTCTCGACGCTCTCAGCCACACGTGATCAATGTTTGACACTTCTACCCGCTCGTTTACAATTGCAGTCCGAGTAACCTCAGTACTAGGTATCACACAGTCTAGGCCGTGTCCACACATCATAGTTTTAAAGCTTTCGTTAGTTGTATTTGTTTTTTTTAAGTAATATAAATCTGTGTTATCATCTCCTATTAATATAATATCTTCTCCTGAGTTAACTTTCTTTATCATTATATCTAACTCTTTAATAAATTTTATTTTATTTGTATTTGGTGGCCTGTATATAGCTATGATATTTATGTAATCATTTCCAGTTTTAAGTCTTCCGTGCAAATTTTCCAATGTCAAAGTTGGATAATATTCTGTTTCAAAGTCAAAGCTGTCCTTAATATATATTAATATCCCACCTTCTCGTTTTTTAACTCTGGTGTTGGCGTGTAATTTATATCCCTTAATTTTATACAATGGTATTTCTTCTATTTTTATGTTTATTTCGCTCAATATTATTATATGCATTCCTTCTATGCAATTTTCAACAATTACCTGTAATTTATTAAAGTGCTTTCTCAATGATCTTATATTTAAATGCATAATATTTAATTTATCTTTGGATTTTTGTATATATGCATTCCATTCTGCTACACCCTCAAATTTATTAAACTTTATATCAACGTTTACAATACCAAAATTATCGAATTTTGTTTAATAAAAAAAAACATATAATGTGTTCAAGGCCTTATTTTTTATGTTTTGTTGATCCTTATTAGATCTTCTATATCATTGTCTGTCTTTATCTGATATGCCTTTCTATCCTCATCAGATTTTCTTACCAATACACATGAATTTCTTACCCATACATATTTATAAGTAGGTTTTAGTTGTATTCTCGCAGTCCAAAATAGCTGTTTTATAGCAGAGGAGAGATTTTCATTAATGTAAATGGATCGGCTGCTTCTATTGCTGTATATAAAGTTATTATCAATCTTTTGCTTTATCTGTAACCATTGGTTTCTTGAAGTTTTAGTTCGTAAGGTGACAACAACTGGCTGCGGTCGCTTATCATCCTGCTTCATTCTACCTACCCTTATAACATCTTCAATTTCAGTTGAATCCAAATTGAGCTTTTTTGACATATCAATGATAACTTGTTTTATATCCTCATTTGGTTGCCTCTCCAGTCCAATCACTTCTACCTTTTTTTCACGTTGTTTTTGCTCGACATCAATCATTCTTTCTTCTATTGACTTAATGTATTTTTCAAGGTATATGTTTTTTTGCTCTAAAGATTTAATTTTTTTATCAGCTGTTTCTTTGAATTCCAATATCTTTTGGTACTGTTCTGCATAGAAGTCAACAGTTTCCGTCAATTCTTCAAGCTTTTTTTCCATTTTAAATAATATTTCGAGTTTATTATTGACCTCAGAAAGCACACCTTCTACCGTCATTTTATTTAAATCGACATCTATTGCAATTGACACCTTGTTTTTACACTCTTCACATAATTCGTATTTTTTTGGGGCACACTTTTTATGAAACACAGTTTCACAGCTTCCTTTACACTTAACGATCTCATCTTTAGTAACTGATACAAACAATTTGCATTTTTTGCATTGAACCATTTTTTCTTATATTATTTTACCACTTGACACGTCCGTTCGTACGGCTAGCGTTTTTCGTTGAGCGAGTCTCGAAACTCTTTATCTAACTTATTTATGATTCGGGGTAACTAGTATTTCACAGTGCGAGTGCATTATGTGTTCTGCGCACTTGTTATTACTAGTTTTCCGCAAGTAATCGAACGTCAACTTATCGTGTGCAACTGCTTCTTTTACAGACCCATTAAAATATTATTCGTTGAGAAACTGGTGTAAAAAGAGACATTTGATGGGTAGTACTTTGCAATGTTTAAAACGCTGAACGTAGTTTGAAGCAAACTGTTGCCTGATATTAGGTGAAACTATGTTTTAAAATTCTTATTAGGTACATTATTTACACTTTAAAAATATGTTTTTTTTTTTACATTATCAATAAATTGCGGCCGTACATTGAGTAGGAATGTTGCATGACGTCACGCTTTTGTACATTTATTTATTCATTTATTCATGTATTGCATGTCACAAGTATAAAGATGTTACATTTATATTTACAGTTCATGTGACACCCTGTAAGGGTGTAGCAAATTCTGAGTACTAAAGGCTATACTTTATATAATATAATATAATATTGTCAACTTATTATTTAGAATGCATATCCTACTTAAGGCTATATATATCTAAAAACAATTAATATTTTATTCATTATATATTAATAATTAACATTGGCATCTACAATAAATGGTTTAATTTAAAATAACTTCTTTATATATTTGAGAATGTATATTTATTATATGTATAATTTATTATATTTTACTTAGGTAAGGCTTGAACTTGACTCTTATCTCCTTTTATTCATTTAACGAAACGTACCCATCCTCAAAGAATTCCGCGACACTGTAATAGCCTTTGTTTATAAGAAAGTTTTTTAAGTGATTTTCAAAAGCTTTCGTTTTTTCGAGTTCTTTAATGTAATTGGGTATTTTATTGTAAATTTTTATTAACATTGAATGGGGGGCTACTGAGTACAATTTCATTTTTGTTGAAGGGACCTTTAGTTTATTATGGTATCTATTGTTGCGTCTTAATAATTTTACCGGGGAATATAAATCCATATGCTTTTTGACAAATTTACAGGCTTCAAAAATATATAAGTTTGGCAGAGTAAGAATTTTCAGACTTTTAAAATAAGGTTTACAAGACTCCATTTGGTTTATATTTGTAATTATTCTTATGCATTTTTTTTGCAAGATAAAGATTTCCAGGGTATGTGGACTATTTCCCCAAAGAATTATTCCATAGTTAAGACGTGAATGGACAAAAGAATAATAAGCGGAGAGGGCTGTTTCTTGATTGGAGACACGTTTCAACTGCCTCAGAGCGTATACATATGATGACAGCTTATTAGATAGCATTTGAATATGAGGTTTCCAATTTATATTACCATCTATCTCTATTCCTAGCAAAGTGGCCGAATCCACAGTTTCTATTTTTTTTAATTTATATTGATAATCAATCTCTAAGGATGGTTTTTGGTAGGGCTAGGCATAATAAAAAAGATTAATAAGATATAATTTTTTTCTTATTTTTCCATAAGTACACATGAGCAGGTCTACCTCTTGGCGCCCGCTTATCGTTGAATTTTGGGACACGTTGTATATATATATAAAATCAACAATAAAAACTCTTTTGTATTATTATACCTAAAAACGAGAAATCAATTAATATTAAGTACTATGTAATGGACATACTAGCAAATTGCAATTGCCTGTATGAACACAGTCTGTTCTCATTAATGAAGTAATTGTTCGATACGAAACTGATGTGAAAGGGTTATAAATGGCCTCGTTTACTTCTTCTGACAGCGTATTATGGGCCTTAATTTACGCTACGATAACAATATCCGTGACAACGTAATAAGAGATACGAAAAAAATATCCGAAAGTTCAGTTATTTCTGGTTGTTTACGCCGATTTCTCATTGTTTATATGCTGTTTGTTTTTTTTAGATCTGTAATATTAGTATATTACACTAGTTTTATGTGACTAGGATTAGTAATAGAGTTTTCTTTTTCACAGTGCTTTTATTGAACGCCATTTTTTTAAATAAAGATTAAGTATCTACTTCTATTAATTTTTTGTATTCGCCCCACCCTTTTATGAGGCTTTATTAATTAAAAGTTATAAAAGGGTGTAAACCAAAATAAATACATTTTTTTGGTAGTGTTTATTATACTGTCACCGATAATCACACTTTTATGCTTATTATATTTATAACATTGCTCTAATTCATTATAAAAAAAAAAAACAAATATTTTATCCCAGTTGTCACGTGACCGCAAACAGCGCGTGACGTCACGATCCTCTTATTCATATCCAGAACTTATAGAATTCAACATTATGCATACATATAACGATATTCGTTTCAGCGTGCAGTGATGTCATAGCAGCGCTATGACAGAAGTGGCGCTTTCGCGGGAAATTTTGACAATTAAAATTCCTTTTTAGATTTTTTATAAATATTTGGTTTAGATATATTTCAAATATAGATATAATAAAATATTTAAAAGTTGTCTACACCCCTATTAAATGAATAATTCTCCACACAAACTTGTATTGATATCAACACCCCATCTCCGTATCTACTCCGTACTAAATTTTGTCTAGAATGGTTAGTGGCTAATTTCGCATTATATTAGATAGTAAATTTTTTAAAAGACCATTATTACTTCGGTACTACGTCTACTAATTATATTTTAAACAAATAATGTTTGATTAATTAATATATGTAGTTGTCTGACAAATTATAATTAGTATTATAGTATCTTCCTTAAACCAAAACGAGGACCGGTATAAAAATATATTATAATTTTATAGATATAGAAATGATGCCTTAATTATTACGTATAATATAAATTAATAATTACTAATAAAATTAAGATAATAATAAAAATCGGCTGCATCATAACGTTAGTTTATTTATATTCCTACTGTTGATTACAGGTTGGTACAGGTCTTCCTTATGGATAGAAGCACTCAACTGGCCCAATGCGGACTGGTGGGTATTAACGACTGCAAATGCAGATACCGCTGCATTTGGCTACACATTCGATGAGTAGCTTTTCCACATATTAAAACTTTTGCAATAAAGTAAAATATACCAAAGCTAGAACGTGTATTTATTAATTAAATTGTTTGATTGTTTGTTTTAGTAAGAAGAACGAAATATGGTAGAGTAAAATCATGCACGTTTTCCCCAGAAATTTCATAATACATTTATTATTAAATGTCGAAAGCAATTAAATTTTCCACTTAAAACGTAAAAGAAATCCTCATCGTAAAATGGTATCTCGCTGAAAAAAATATAATCTCAATGTGCACAATGAACGACTCAATACATATTGCCCACTATGAAATTTTGGATGTATCAAATAATTAGATTTTATATTAAGTATTTTGTAATATCTGCTGTGAGAATTCATTTGTGCTGTGAGACGCCAGCTATTTGAAATGTAGAACGAATAGTTCAATTTAATTTTTATTCTTTTGTAGCCTTAGAATTTTTATTTGATATAGTGGGAGAAATCCTACACAGCTACCTAGTAATACACAGCTAATATAAAAACACTTATCTAAAGATGCTCGAAAAGCTGTCGTCAACGATCCTAGAGAAGGCTAATATTCAGTTCAGTTCGGGTTTCAGGAGGTCAACTCAAACGATAATTTAATTTTTGTACTCATCTTCACAGTTTATGTTGACATCGGCTCCATCAGTCTATTCAAGTTCCCACTGCTGGGCAAAGGCTTTCCTTTTGACTATAAGCGAATGGAACAGGAAGAATGTACCACGACTAAAGGTTTAAGTTCTCTGCTTAGCACAGAGGAGGTCGAGACGAGATAATGAATTTTTGGTCACCCATGCTATGATCGGCCGTTGCGAAAGTAATAATGAGAGTTAGCTTATGATATTTGGACAAAACTGGATAAATAACTTTAACCCAAAAATTTGTCTTCGTTAAGAACCGTTGTTCTGTCATAAAACAGGTCAGCAAGTTTAAATATTTAGGTCACATAATAAGAGATGATTTAAGTGATGATGATGATATGGAACGTCTGGATGGAGGCTGGCTCGTAGATTTTCTAAATGCAGTAAAACCGTGAAGGTCACTTTTTTAGTGCCTACTGTCAGGCGTTTTACACCAGCCAGCTGTGAACCAATTTCACGCAACGCGCCTATCATGCGTTGCTTGTGCAATATAATAACGCATTCAGAGCAATGATGAACCTGCCACGGCGGTGTAGCGCGTCCGGCATGTTCTTCGACAATAGGGTTGATGATTTTTTTGCAATTATGAGAAAAAGGGCTGCCGCTTTCAAAGACTGAATCAGAAATACCAATAATGAAATCTTACTATCAATTTATGACTCATGATATTTATGAGCGATCCTATAGGTTGTATTAATTTAATGATTTATTTATGTTGTTTTTAATTTTATTTTAAGTTTTTTTATATGATCTTTAATTAATCTTCGTGACATTTTTAAGATATGACGATGATTGATTGTTTTTTAGATAATTGTTATGAATTTATTTTTTGCTATGATTTTGTTTATTTTGTTTTTAATTTATTTTTGAACATTTATTGCATATGAATTTTCAATTTTTTTTTTTATTTGTATAAACCAAATTTTGATTTGTATGAGTGTTAATGCCTGTAATTAATGGAATTAATAAACATATAAAAAAATAATTATACTATTTCCTAATTAAATCCACATTGTGTTCCAAGTTTTACTATCTTATGTAATTTATATCAAATAATTTCAAAGTATATAATTATCATCATTTAATATTGAACTTTGACGAATAAGTATGTATTTATTTGCGGTCCCACTAATCCAATCTTTCTATGTTAAAGCTGAAATTCAGCAGTTTGCTCTTCTAGCAAACCTATTACTGAACTTTTTACACATATAGACTTGTGTAGGTCTTTTAATTAATTTATTTTTTCGTACATATTTTGTCTCTTTGTATTCACTCAACTTTTATAATAGCG